TGAGTTGATCGCCACCCTGGTTTGGAGCAACATGTTTAATTCATCTAATAACAGTCTCTGGTATCAAGGGTCCTTGATTTTCCGCGAGGCCTCGTTGACCAAAGGGGTCTTTAAATACAATAAGTCGGTGAGGGACTTTGCCCTAGGTCTCATGACCGTAGCCCTCGTGTAACCGGCCATTTCCGTGTGACAGTAGTCTTCATACTGCTGTCCCGTATTGCGCATAGGGTGCTACTATTAACGAATACAAGCTATTTGTGCTTGGGGCTTGATTTATCGTTGTTTACCTACTTTATTTGATACCCGTTCGTAGCCACGTACTTGGTGGCTTCAGTACCTACATTCATGAGGCCGTAACGGGTACGTATCAACCATAAAACTCTTGGGCTGGTGATGTGAGATAAACCTGCAATGGGCGGACACCCGGGTCTTGATATAAAGCCCCTCTGATAAGTCAGTAATCCATTTTGACCTTCATATTGTATTACTAAAATCATTTGCGGTTAAAGTTTGTTAGAAGAAAGGGGCATTATTAGCTCTATCGTATGGTGGCTAATAAACGTCAACGATACATCACAGAAGCGACTAGGTACAGTCTCAATCATACACGACTGATCCTTGATAAATCTTCCTAGAAGCAGAGAGAATTTCTACATTGTATTAAAATATTAGACGCCAGCTGCCGGCACTGGCTATTATATACACCCCGACCCGACTGACAACTTTGGAATCTCATGCCGTTCCCCCTTCGGTCTGACGGCGGGACCACCTCCCGAACTTTTCCTCTGAAAACTCCATAATGTCCACATGACCTCGATGCTGTTTTATTTCCTCCGTGGAAGATATGCTTGACCCCCTTGATTTGGCACTGCTCGAGCTCGAATCCCTGTCTTTGAGCAGTATATATTTGTCCACCAGCGGCTTGACTCCCGGGATCGACACGGCAATAATTGTGGCGCCGACCTCGGCAACCTCGACACAAAGCAGGTTGAGGAAGGCATACTCAAAAGTCTCATCCGTCTCGTCTTTACACCTAGTGCGTCAGTAGACCATCCAGTCCAACGAGGACGAGCTGTACTTACAACCATACTTGGTGACTAGAACAATCCGCCCGGCAGAGATGCCAATCACGCTGCAACATGTCGTCAGAGAATGTCCATCATGTCCCTTTGTAATTATGTTTGGAGTACTTACAGTATGCCGGGAAACAGAGTATAAGCAAGTTGAAGCTTTTGCTTCCGTGGCAGCTCCAAGCCCTTGAGCATTATACCCGGAATGCCAAAGAGTAGCAAGTCGCAGAAAAGAGAAATGCTGGAAATGATAGAGTATGTCTCATACCAATACATGCAATGATATTTGGCCTCGTCTTCTTCGTTCCAAGGCGCCCACAATAAAGTTATAGGTTGGCAATGAAAGATGATGAGACAGAGCTGCGCCACGTATCCTAGTATTATAACCACAAAGATGATTTTAATAGCTAGGAGAAACTTTGGATTCATGCGGCAAATGCGGTAGTAAAATGCCAGCCCCGACACTCGGCAAAGCACCAGCGTCGTGCTATACACCAAGTGCGTAATGGAATCTATAAGCTGTACTTTATAATCGTCTTCTGCCGTCATGACAAACCACTCAAAGAGGAAGTTTCGTCCGGCGCCTAGCACAAGAAGTTCTATGCATAGCGCTGTAAAGGGAATAAAAACCAGCTTAGAGAGGCAGCTTGTGTTAGCAGCCGAGGCCGAGCAGCGCGAATCTCAAGGGTAGCTTACCAGCGACGCGAGTGCTATTCCATCGTCGATGCCCAATGCGCCCTTCTTCGTGATGTACTTGCGCGAATAGAGTCTCAGCACGACGACCAACGTTGTCAGGACGAGGACGACGACAATGCCCGCAATGGCCGATGTGTCTCGCGATTCTCTAAGCAAATGGATAGGCACGTCCGAGGGAACATCGCCAGCGGCAATGGCCTCATCAATTCGAGGGTCGCCCATTTTCCTTGAATTGCGTCCAGCCGCTAGCAGCAAAAGCGAGAAGGTCTCTGACGTCTGGTAGAGGAATTTGAATTGTCACGGGGCGAAATGAGGCTCAACAAACATGACATCTTCTGGACATGGGCTGCTGGCAGGTTCTGTATTTCAATCTTGCGGCTCGGCGTGATAGTGCCCCCGAATCCTCCATCATGACTCGCACCTCGGCGGCATTTACAAACGCAACGCAGGGCAAGTTTCTGCGCCTGAAAAGACGCCGGCCTGCTTTTGAAGCCGTGGATCCATTTCATGTTTCGGCGTGTGCCTACAACACCGGCCGTTCCGCTGGGGAGGCTCCTTGATCTTGCTCGTGTGGTCGTTTCAGATCCGCCGCACTAGCAAGAGCCATCAATGCGCTGGGCGCCGTACGTTGCTGCAAGATGTTTGGTATTCTCCAGCTATTCCGCTGGCATTGCCGCCAGTCGAGGCTGTTGAGGGAGAATGCTGCCACTGTCTCGTGGTTGTTTGGAAATCAAGCTACGCCTAGGCGCCAACTTCAGTCGGCCGAGTTTACCAATTGGAAGGGTTTGAGAGCTGCTATAATGCAGAATTATCTGAGTCTTTACGGAAAAAGGCATGCTCTTGCGACAGGAATACTCCACCAGACACTACTTCTTGCGTCTGTCTCTGTGACCGGGTCAGAACGGGCCCGTGAGACGGCCACAATGACTACATTTACATTTATCACGGTACACTTGCCAGGTCTTGGTTCTGACCAGTCGCAGAGATATGATTGCATTCAGGCGCAAGGTGCAAATCAGATGTTTGTTTGTATAAGCACATCAGACAAGGTTGTTTAGAACCAGACTGGTGCCATGATCGCCCACATCTGATCGGCCTTGCAGGGCCGAAGAGCTCCGTTTGACGGTTCCCCTTTTCCAGCGTCAAGGTTGATGGCTCCCGAATGGAAAAGGCCCGTCTGGGGTCCAAGTCCGCCTTAACGCTCCGTATGTTCTTACCCCAGTATAGTTTCTGTGCCGTGTCTACATCTAATTGAGTGTCGATATAGTCTGGATGCATTCCCAAGTCCCCATCCGCCTATGAATTCATGATGCCATCTCTGAATAGATCGGCATTCTCCTTTGCGGAACGGTGTACGCCCGTTCCATTTG